AGTGAAGCTTTGAGGCAAGGATAGTAAATCGCAGATGAAGTGGCTTTACCAAACTTGTCAGTCGTTCCCTGTTGGACTTTAAAATCAATCTCTTTCAATTGATGGACTACAAGCTTCGATCCCAGCCACCGGTACCGTCATATTCGAAGATTCGTTCACACAACTGGCCTCGAAAATATGATAGAACATTTGTGATAGCTTTAGTAAGAAGAGAATGAGATGAAGGAAGAAGAGAGATAACTGGAAAATAGAGTTTCTGAAGCAGAGGACTATTGCAAAAAGGCTGCAGTACTCATTGAAGCCATCGCACATTTTATATCATATTTTAGGGCCAATTACATGAATAAATCAGCCAATATGATTAAAATGGTAGCCAGGATCGAGAGAATGTAGACAACCAGTTAGAAAAGAGTAATTTTCAAGTGCAGCAGGAAACATTTGACAAGATTGGTAAAGTGGGCGGCTGAGTAAAAGTGAAAGTAATGATTGGGATATGTGGTGAAATAATCTTTTGGAAAAGAACAGAACATTTTGTAACGATGGGCGATTTTTCAGAAATCCCCTTTGGTAAGCGCTTACGTTCTCATGTGCCCTGATGAAAGGCTCTAACAGTAACTCGTAAAGGTACGAATGAATGGGAGCTTGAAAAAAGAAATGCAAAGTCATCCAGAATCAGTTGTTCTAACTGACAAGGTCGGAAGATAAGTGCACACCTAGAAGGAAATCGCAGACCTAGTCAGATAAAAAAATACGACGATTTTCTTTGAATTAAGTGCCAATTGATGCTAATCTAAGCATTAGCGGCAGATTGAGCCAATCATTAACACCCAAACAATCCAAAAATATATCCTAAAGTTAAAGTTTAGCTGAATGAACACAATTTAAGATAGCTAAAAAGATAGGAATCAAAGGAAGGAAAACACTAAAATAGAACTAGAATGACTATGGCAAACTAGAATGAAAAATAAATTAAAATCTGAATCAATGCAAAAGGCAAAGCTAATCCATGCTATCAGCCAGCTTACATCAACAATGCTTAGTAGAAAATAGGAATACAGGAAGTGTGGTTATTTGAAAACTATTAATAAGTCTAGAAAAAATATACACTCAGTGTGGTAAACGAGACAAGACATATCTTCAGGCAATAAATAAAATGAAAAGAAGAATAGTCGTAAAGTATGTGTTAGCAATGCATTAGGGCTGTTATCGGAGAGATAGATAATAGTAATGTTAAAGTACTGCAAGAAGAGTAACTTCTCTAGTTAATAGCCCAGATTAGAAAAATATTGTCTAAATCTAAAACTTGAAGAAACATGGGAAAGCTAAAACATAATCAAATATGGAGGAATTCACGGGGTTCTATAGAGTGAGGGGATAATAGTAACTGGCAATAGACGTTCCAGGGATTCTCTCCGAAATAGTCAAAGGCGGCAGTTTGCTCATAGGACAAAAAAATTCTTTGCGTATGCAGTTTTACGTTCAATCATAAATCAGGTTGCTTTGTAATGCAGTGAAATCCACTGAAAAAATAGCCAATGAAAGAGGCAGGGGACAGCACCTTTAATTTAAAGTAATCACTTCTAGACTGTTGCCGTGTGTCCGAAAGACATTTTTGATTCATGGAATAATTGTAAGTCTAATCCGAAAATAAGCCAATATAAGAACAAGAATGGTAAAAGACAATTTTTGATTCTTTGAATGTACCTCCTACTTCATCTTCTGACATTATTTTCAAACGAATAAGGTATATTCACCCTATTTCTTTCAAGATGATAAGGGTAGTTTAATTATTCCACAAGCAAATGAGTGAAGCGTATCTCACACTACCATTGTTCGAATTCCACTGGGAGGATCAAAACTGCAGTCCACCCTGGATGAAAATACCTTTTGAGAAAGCAGGGCTATGTAACTAGTAACTTAAGGTCTATCTACGTGTTTGTGGGAAAATTAAACTACCAGTCCCCTTTTCACCTTTAACGAAATAGGGTTAATACACCTCATATATATATATAAATATATATATATATGTAATCAACTGGCAGTATCGAAAACTTACTTATAAACATTATTTTCATGTATAAGAACTTAGTAACCCTAGGTTTTCTAAGGTCAGTTAAAGAGAAATAATTGGGTTTTCTCAAAATAGCATGAATTGGCCTCAAGATGTCATTGAACTCAACTAAGCCTCGTCTCCAAGTAGATTTACTTATCGAGGATGGACTTCAGTCTTGATGTCGCATAGACTGGCCTTTTCAGGGCTCCAGGCGGGATTCGATACGGTGTCGTGAGTATCGTGGCAACTACACAGCCACGGGCCCAAGTAGGTCACAAGACAGATTTGATATTCAAGGCAGGCCAGACATCGTCCAAAATTATTGTGAAATTGCCGATTTGTTTGCCATTCGAATTAATACAATTTTGGTACATGTTTCAAGATTAAGTCGATAAATGTGATAATTTTAAAATTACTCTTGGGCTCTTCTACATGATCAAATTATAGTTACAGAATCAACTCAATTCCAATACAATTAAGTCAGTCGATTGCATTTTCAAATAAAAGTCTGCTTCGTCAACAATTCCACTACAAAAAGTAATGTAAAAGAGGCCTATTTAGGCCTAAAATTCACATCTGCCCCTTTACCCAGGGCAATGGCATAATAAGAATATGTCGAAAATGTACGCAAAATTGCCCAGGTTGACTGATGAGATCTACGCGGCTTTGAGTCTAGAGTCCACCCTAAATGAAAATACATTTTTGGAAGGAAGGATAAATGAAATTCAATAG